TGCTCAGCCCAACGCTCCAGACGTTTTGACAAATTGTGGATAGGATGTCCACTCTCATCACAAATTGTTTCACTAACACCAGATCTCCTGCTGCCCGTTTCCCGTATCAGACGGAATAACTTACGATGGTTGCCAAGGGCAGCGGCCACTTCCATCTCTGATGCATGATGAGACCACCAGAATTCACGGTCTCTCTTCAGGCTAGCACGGAGTTTTGTCCGGAGCTCTTTGCGAGTTTCATTGTGTTCGCTTCCAGCCGGGATATGCCGGCGAGCGTCGATAATTTCCAGAGACCGAGAAGAGACCCCATGTCCATGTTGGCTATTAGACATACCACATGAGGATTTGCCTGCTGCTAGTAAGGTCTGGCGAACATGTGACCAGTGACCACCAATTGTCTCCGGTGAGCGATTACTCAACCCGCATGTCAGTGTACTTCGATACGCATTCAGAACAGCTGGCTTTGTCAGTTCGCTGGTATCAATGCGCTCCCAGCGTCCTCGTGGGCGTCCGCCAAAGCGCATCCGCAGGTCTGCACATACAAGTGCATGATCGATGTCCACATATGTGCTCCAAATCAAGCGACAATTCTGGAGGCAGCCTCTCCGGCGGTAACTAATAGCAATGTGATCGATCTGCGTCCAAGTCTGGTTCGAGGATGGTGGGCGCCAAGTCACCCTCCGGCAGGTGCTATGTCGGAAATTAGTGCCCACAAGAAATAAGCGAGCATCATCACACAAAGTTAATAGAAGAGCAAAAGAAAAATGGCGAGGAAAAGTAAGCAAAATAGAATCGAAGTATGAAGATGGGAATTAGTCAGGAAAACGGAAAGGTTTCGTGTTGCCACCCAAGATCATATAGTTGACGCTCAAACCCCTTAACCGTAGCTTCCTTGACAACATTTTCGGGAAGCAGGTTCCAGCGCTCGATGACTCGACGCGATAACCGTGTCTCCGCTCTAACTCGATCGGACCGCGGTTTGTCCAGCTTCATACAATGCCCGCGGAGACCAGATAATCTAGCAGGACTAAATAGCCAGGACAAATCAGGCCCAATCTTCCCAGTCAAAATACGGTAGGTTAGGATTAGGTCCCCTCTAATTCTTCGATAGTGCATTGACTGCATCCCCAAACTAAGTAGGCATTCGGGGTACGTTTGCCCTCGTAATCCATTGACCAACCTAGTACCGACACGCAACACCCTTTCTAGTGCCATTTTGTCCCGGACAAGGCATGGTGGACAGGCCTGGACGCAATAGTCTAGGTGGGGTCGCACAAACGCTGCGAAGAGCTTCACAAACACATCAGCAGTTATAGTCCCAAGAGGATGACGGATAAACCACAACATCCGGAACCCTTTACTAGCCGCCTTCTTCCAGTTGTCTCCAGAGTGTAGTGTGGAACAGTGGACGACACCTAGATCAACCTGATGAGTCACGTGAGGAAGTACAGTCCCATCGAGCACATAACTTGTGGAGGAAGCAGACGCTCCGATACGCAGCATTGAACACTTTGCCCGGTTTATAGGCAGCAACCACAAGACAGACGATTCCCAGAGTCTATCCAGAACCACAGGACCTCCAGGGATATCAACGATATTCCAGAGCTTTAGGTCATCTGCAAATAAGAGCGATGGTACCTCAAGCTCCTCCGGCAAGTCATTTACGTAGACTGAAAAAAAGCAGCGGACCTAGGACAGAGCCTTGCGAAACGCCGCTAAGTACAGCCTGTCAAAACGAAAGACTGCTTCCCACACGAATACACTGTTCCCGTCCATCCAGAAAAGCTGACACCCACTGGAGAGCGCGACCAGCTATTCCGCACGACCTCAACTTCAGTGAGAGTCGCGAATGGGGAACAGTGTCAAAGGCCTTGGCGAAGTCTATGAACACCACATCCACCGTATGTCCACTGTCTACGGCTTCAGCCCAGCACTCACGAGCTACCAGCAAGTTCGACACGAAAATCCTTTGCGAAAACAATGTTGCTCGACACTAAGCAGGTTAAATCTATTTTAATGGTTCTCCACTATATCTCGTACTAATTTTTCAAGTAACTTAACGACCACGCTAGTCAAGCTGACAGGCCTGTAGTTAGCCGGTAGGTCTTTGTCACTGCACTTGAAAATCGGGCAGACAACAGCGTCCTTCCATTCGGTAGGCAAGATACAGCTGTTGAGTGACTTTTGAAACACACAAGTCAGAGGTCCACTGAGTTTCACTGCCAATTTGTGCAACAATTTTAGATGAACGGAATCTGGCCCAGAAGCCTTAGTTGGGTTCACCTCTCCTAGCAACCGGAGAACTTGGGACTCAGTCACAGGAATTTTATCCAGACAACAGTCCTCAGAGACTCCTGAAGCTAACTCTTAGCATGGCGTATTTGTTTCGCGGACAAAGACGCTTGAGTACTGCTTACCAAGCACGCATGCCTTGTCATAGTCACTATAGGCATGGGTCGCATCTCCTCGAAGCAATGGTGGTATGGGTGAGTTTGCACCACAGCGTCGTTTAACGTAAGCGAAGAATTTCTTGGAATTTTTCGAGGCAATATTAACTAAGCCTTTTTCATACTGAAGCAGGGCCAACCCAAAATGTAGCTTGCACTCATTTCGAACCAACCGATACTTGTCAAATGTGTTGTTCGACGGAGCTGTTCGGTAAGCTCGCCATCATCTAGACTGCTTCTTTAGCAGGCCCCGCCTTGCGGAATCTATCCACGGAGGTTGCGCTCTCGATTCCCTTCTTTTTACCAGTGGGATGTGAGGTGCAGAAATGTCGACGAGGTGAGCCTTAAGCTTTTCCCAGGCTATGTGAACAGTGTCGGTCTCAGATATCACACAAGGCGATGACCTAGCTTTATCCTGCATCGCTTGGAAGTCCGCGGCCCAAATGTTCGGATACCAACTGGTAGTAGCTTGGTAAGGCCTGATACGAGTACACTGGAAAGACAAGCAAACGTGATCGCTAGTGCCAAGAGGCGAGTCGTATTTAAAGTCATTTACAAAGTCAAGTGACTTAGTAAAAACAAGATCGAAAATGGACGGCTGCTGATTTCTCATGTACCTACTGGGGAGGTCCACGAACTGGTGTAGTGGTACCTTCAGCATCAAGTCCAGCAGTTCTGTACCGAACGATTCCAGAGCCGACCTGCAAGATAGAACATCCCAACAGACTTCTGGGAGGTTGAAGTTTCCCAGCACCAGACACTTGTTTGCAGAGTGAGCGCGTATAAACTCAATGATTCCATTGGACGTGTTCATACGGCTTCTATACACTAACACGACCGTAACCTGAACGGAGGAAGCGCAAATCAAGACTGCGAGAGCTTCAACAGATTTGTCGAGAGACTGAAAAACGCTGGTCCTCAGTACGTCGATGTGATAACTCACATAAAGAGCTACACCACCCCCCTTGACGGCCAATGGAGCGGTCAGCAAACTGCTTAACCTTCTTCGTTGCCAACATAACCGAACCACCGCATACCACTTCGCAGCTAATGGGATGGTAGAAAGGTTCCACCGGCAACTCAAAGCCTCACTCTGTATCCAATCTAGCACATCCTGGTACGAAGCACGTCCGCTAGTTCTCTTAGGCATGAGAAACATGATTAAAGCGGATTTGCACGCCACTCCATTGTCGCTAGTCTTTGGATGCACACAACGCTTACCTGGTGAACTCGTCTCACCAAAGCGCCGCCAACCTTCGACTATGGCGACTACGCAGCTCGCCTATCTCATCACATGCGACAGCTTCAGCCTGTGCAACCCAGAGCACAGATCTTGCGTACCAACGTGGACGAACACTTAACTACTTGCACGCATGTGTTCGTTCGCACTGACAGCGTACGCCGACCACTTCAACCTCCTTACTCTAGTCAGCACCGTGTCGTACGCAGAAGCGACAAGACGTTCACCATTGACTACAATGGTAAGACTGAGGCGATCAACATCGATCGACTCAAACCAGCATTCCTCGACAAGTCTGACTCTTCGATGCAGCAAGCACCTTCACAGCCTGTGCCATCACAGCTCGCACCGCGACCTCAGACGAGTCAGTCCGCTCCAGCAGAACCGACAACCTCAACCGACAGCACTCCTACTCGCCCTATTATCGATTGACGCGGTAGGAAACTCAACCCTCCAGTTCGATTTTCGGACTTCGTTAGCACTCACTATTTTACATAGAAGGTGCCTTTGAAATTTTCTGCTTCTACCAAGGTTTACGGAAATCCATAAAAAAGATCATAACGTTTGGAGACTACCAAAAAAGAGCAAACCCTTTTGATAATCCAAAAACAGAGTTGCACGTTTTTCGCTTTGCACTCTTTTGTGTTTGGCTATGCATTTACGCTGCCTTTTCATTTTGCCTTCCATATACACCGCCAGTTGGTTGCATCTCGGTTTCACTTTTCGCTGGATCCCGGCACGTCAACTGGAAGTGGTGTAGCGACCTGAATTTCCCTAGACCACCTTCCCGATTACCTAATAGTTGTTATGTATGTCTGTCTGATTGAACCTACAGTTTACCGGCTGTTTTCCTAAGGTGGTCCATCGATAAGACATGGCTGGACAAATAACAGCTTGATAATCTTCCTATAAACTGCTCCAATTTCCAGTTCGAAAAAGTTAACAGTACAGCTAACATAGTATATCCCCTCAATTTTCCCGTTGGTAATATGTGTCATGGCTTCATTGTTTATCGCTAAGTAACTTTCACCTCCCAATAGTAACCACTGTAGTTTATCATTCCTATGCGGATCTTGAAGCACCGCGTAGGGACCTAACAACCCTGAGTCAAGAGTATGATATCATGATTAGAGCCCTGCTTTGTATAGATTTTAACTGCGCATATCAGCCGCTTCATGCAGCCACTTCATACACGCACACGTTGCCTCTCTCAATGAATTAAACCCTTCTGATAGCGCCTTTGTCAACTTCCATTATGCCTACGTTCAACTGCGCGGTTGAGGCAACTAAATATTCTGTCACAAGGAGCTTACCTATTGCGGGACTTCGGTCACGATGTGGAGAAAGCTACAATTAGTATTGTTCAGTTCAGTTCAGTTCAGATGGGGACTGGAACGATAGGAGAATCCCGTGAGTGTTCCATCTTGAGTGGATCGTTGAGCCAGGAATTGATGAAGTGCTCAGTTATTGATGGATCTAAAACGGAAACACCCGTAACGCACCCTGGCCAACCAGTTAATGCCCACGTTTCCTGCCCTAGCAGTCCCTGCTTTGGCAGTCACGTGAAATAAGCAAAGGATAGGAAGAGAAATCGAAGGTACAGAATAGGGAAGTGCACTTAAATAAGAAAATAATACCAATACGTGAAGAAAAGTAGAGAAAAGAAAATCGAAGTACGAAGATGCGTTACTCAGGAAAATGGAAAGGTTTCGTGTTGCCACCCAAGAGCGTCAAGTTGCCGCTCAAACCCCTTAACCGTAGATTCCCTGATAACACTTTCCGGAAGCATGTTCCAGCGGTCGATAACTCGGCGTGACAGCCGGATTTCCGCCCTAATCCGATCGGACCGCGGTTTGTCCAGCTTCAACGAATGACCGCGTAGAACAGACAATCTAGCGGGACTGAATAGCCAAGATAAATCTGGACCAACCTTCCCAGTCAAGATACGGTAGGTTAGGATTAGGTCTCCTCTAAGCCTTCGGTAGTGCATAGAATGCATTCCCAAACTAAGTAGACGCTCGGGGTACGTCCGTCCCCGTAATCCCTCGACTAACCTAGTACCCACTCGTAAAACCCTCTCCAGCTCCATTTTGTCCCGGACGAGGCAGGGCGGACAAGCTTGGACGCAGTATTCCAGATGAGGGCGAACGAAAGCCGAGAACAGCCTCGTAAAGTTGCCGCCCGTCAAGACTCCGAAAGAACGTCGGATTAACCACAACATGCGGAAACCTCTGCTAGCGGCCTTCTTCCAGTTGTCGCCAGAGTGTAAAGCCGAAGAGTGTACGACGCCTAGGTCAAGCTGGCTAGATACACGGGGGAGTTCGACCCCACCGACCAAGTACTTCGCAGGAGGACAACCTCCTCCAATTCGAAGAACGGAGCACTTTGCCTGATTTATGGGCAGTAACCATAAAGTAGACCAGTCCCAAAGCTTATCCAATGCTCACTGAATAGCTTCGGAACCCCCAGGAACATCAACAATGTTCCACAGCTTCAGGTCATCAGCAAATAGCAGCGATGGTACCTCAAGCTCCGTGGGTAGGTCATTCACATAGATAGAGAACAACAGCGGTCCAAGGACCGAGCCCTGCGGCACGCCGCTGAGGACAGATTGCCTAAATGATAGACCCCGGTCTACCCGTACACATTGTTCTCTACCCTCCAAGAAGGCAGTCACCCAATGAAGGTCGCGGCCAGATACCCCGTAGGAGGACAACTTTTGCGCGAGCCTCAAATGGGGTACCTTGTCAAATGCCTTCGAAGAGTCGACGAAAAGCATGTCCAGTGTGTGGCCGTTATCCACTGCATCCGCCCAATTTTCGCGAGCTACCAACAGATTCGTCAGACACGAAAATCCCTTCCGGAATCCGTGTTGTACATTGCTAAGTAGATTAAATCTACTTAGATGACTCTCCAATGAATCTCTCGCCAGTTTCTCGAGGAGTTTGACTACTACACTCGTCAGACTAACTGGCCTGTAACTTGCAGGCGTCACGTAGTACACTAACAGTGTGTGAACTTCGTAATAATTTGCCTGGTATCGGGTACAATACCGTACTGAACAATAACCATGCTAGTTAATCCGCTGAAACATTTGCATGTGGTGTTTTGAAAGGTAATTTTCAAGCGAGCTGAGATCAGGGACTGATTATTATTTGGTAGCAGCTGCCTTGCACAGTACACAAGCGTATTATTGATATCAAACTGATTATCGAGAGTGCTATCACATCAATCATTTCGGAAGTTTTTCAACGCTCAGTTGCTCGATGATAAGTACTGAACCGGGAATTAAGTGGTGGTAGTGATCTAAGGAACATGAGAAAGGGCAACCGGGCAAGATTTATCTTTACACACCATGTAGCGACCTGGAGATTCCCCCGTATGACTGTGTAAACTATTCTAAAATATTCAAATTATTGCTTGCTTATGTATTAAGGAATCATTCGGTTTGCCTGTTGGGACGTTGTTCCCGTTTGTTGGATACACGAACACGATCTCCGCCTTTGGCGCGCGGCTCGACTGCGAACGACGCTCCGTCTACGCTCCTTACGCCAACGACATTCTCCCTAGCTAGCTCTCTCCGGGTGCCCTATTTTTAGCATTAGCTAACGCTCCTCCCGTCCAATAAACTTCTTCCCTAGTTTGCTTTTGTGTCTTCTACCCACTACTTTTGTTTGGTCGTCTAGTCGCGTACCGGATATATAGCGCACGATCCACGCGCTATAATTAGTGACCCCACAAAAAACTATTTTGGTGAGTTCGGCACTAATATTACTTTTCAGATATGGTAAATTATTCTGTCTACCCTTCTACTTTTACTTTTTAATACTTGCATTTACTTTCACGCGCTCCGCAATTTTTCACCATGAAGGTTATTCACTCACCTGACGATCAGGTCAGTGCGTTCCGTTTTCCTATCCCGCCTTTCCGTGATACTAACACTAAGGCCTGGTTTAACCAGCTAGAGTCCATTTTTTGTTACATGGCGTTATCACTGACAGCGTCAAATTTCACTGCGTTGTCGCCGCGCTTCCCCCGCAAGTCGTCGATGACCTCGACGACATCTTGGAACTTCCGGAACATCAGAAAAGTTACGATGAGTTTAAGGCCGTCGTCTTAAAGCGATTTGGCATATTAGACCATGCTCGCGTCACGCAGCTTCTTAACGAAACCGAGAATGGGGACCGAAAGCCTTCGCAGTTGCTGCACAAGACGCAAGCTCTAGCTAAGCCTCTCGCTGTTGGCGACTCTTTCCATAAAGAGATGTGGCTTCGTTGCCTGCCACGTGACATGCGCAATCCCTTGTATGCAAACCATGCGCCTCTTCCTCAGCTCGCCGATATTGCCGACCGTATTTGGGAATCCAACACCCAAATATCTCAGGTTCAGTCTACTCCCAGTACAGAGGTAGCAGAACTAAGAGCGCAAGTAGCCGCATTGACCAACCGACTAGCGAAGCTAACACAATCCGGATCCAACCGCCGAAATCGTTCCAGTAGTCGCAGTCCTCCTAGTCACATTCGAAATCTCCCCCTAGGTCAAGCAATTGCTGGTATCACGAGCGATTTGGTCATCAGGCCAGATCGTGTCACCCGCCTTGTTCCTTCAAGCGCAACACGCAGGGAAAAGGGTAGGCCAGCACGTAGGGGCGGCGGACGTTGCTGGCCGCCCCAGTCGCCTTTTCTTTGTCACCGATTGCAGTACGGGAGTACGCTATCTCGTTGACGCCGGCGCAGAAGTCAGCGTTATCCCACGTGATTCTAACGATTTCGAAGAGGCGACCGGTTCATTGAGCGCAGCAAACGGCACCACCATTCGCTTGTATGGTCAACGCTCCCACACGCTTAATTTAAACCTACGACGTTCAATTAAATGGATCTTCCTCGTCGCAGATCTTCAGGCACCAATTCTTGGCCTTGACTTTCTGCAGCACTTCGATTTACTTGTTGACGTGCAGCAACGCCGTCTGATCGATCGACAAACAAAAATGGCAGTTTTTGGTACTTTGACCGACATAGAGTCAATCAGTCCTGTGTGCGCCAACCTGTCAAGCTCGCCTATCGGTCAGACGCTTATTACCGAGTTCCCGCAAGTAATTCGTGCAACGGCACCGTTTCATCCGCCACTGATGCTGCGAAACATCACATCGTCTTTTGCCAAAGCCAGGAGAATGACCCTTGACAAGTTGAAAATGGCTCGAGCAGAATTCGAGCACATGCTTGAACTAGGCATAGCTCGCCCGTCTAAAAGTCCATGGGCGTCGCCGCTCCGCATGGTGCCCAAAAAGTCAGGAAACTGGCGTCCATGTGGTGATTACCGCGCGCTCAATAGCGTCACTGTTCCCGACCGATATCCGATTCCTCACATTCAGGACATCACGGCAAGCCTGCCCAGCGCTCACGTGTTCTCGAAAATCGATCTGGTTCGCGCGTATCACCAGATTCCAGTCGCTGAGGAAGACATCCCGACGACTGTTGTAATCACGCCGTTCGGGCTCTTCGAATTTTTGCGTATGCCGTTCGGTCTTCGCAATGAAGCCCAGTCTTTTCAACGACTCATCGATTCAGTCACTAGAGGTCTAAATTTCGTTTATGCATACATCGACGATATCCTAGTTGCCAGCGCGTCTAAACAACAGCGCGCGGAACATCTTAAAATACTTTTCGATAGGCTGGCCGCTAATAGCATCACGGTCAACCCTGACAAACGCATATTTCAGCAGCCTTCCGTCGAATTCCTTGGCCACCATATTGATCAGTATGGTACACGGCCTCTAGATGATAGAGTTTGCGCCAACGGAGACTTTCCGGTTCCGAATACGTTAGCCGCTATTCGCCGTTTTAACGGCATGCTCAACTATTATCGAGGTTTACTTCCACACTGTGCCAATTTGCTAAGTCCACTAACCGACCTACTTCGTGGACGTAAACACGGCCAGGTGGATTTGACTGCTGCTGCTGCCGAAGCGTTCAAGTCCTGCAAAGATGCATTAGCTAAAGCAGTTATGCTTCATCATTTCGATCCGAAAGCCCTGCTCAGTATGCTGTCGACGCATCAGACACCGCCATTGGCGCTGTCCTACAGCAACATACAAATAATTTTGGAAACTACTTGCTTTCTACTCTAGACGTCTACAACCTGCCGAAGATAAGTACAGCACGTTCAGTCGCGAAATGCTAGCCGTTTACACTACCGTTCGACATTTCCGACACGTCCTCGAAGGTAACACCTTCATTATCTGCACCGATCACAAGCCGCTTAGCTACACATTCCGAAATAAATCAGCTGGACACTCATCACGTGAGATTCGTCAGCCGGATTTCATTGCCCACTTTTCGACTGATATCCGACACAT